TTCATCATATCTAGCCAATGTACGTTGAGAACAACATTCCAAAGTGCACCATTTACATTCTGAAAAATCATTTAAATATTCATAGCTATATCGACAATTTGTTACTCGTTTTTTATTGGAAGTTGATATTGTGTTTCTGATGAATTCGTATTTGGAAAAACGTTTTACATCATATTCAACTTCTTTTCGATTATGAATAGAACATTTATTATAAGTTTTTTTATAGTAGTGTATAGAGTCAAGCTCACTCCCAACTGGTTCAAAATGTATTTTATCAATCTTTAGAAAATCTTTTATACCATTTATTTTATTCTTTTTTTCGTCAGTTGATGGTTTATAATGACCAAATTTAGTTTTTTTCTTTAGACGTAAAAATCCTTGTATATGACAATCTTGCTCTTGAGAAACATTATAATTTTGTTCATATTGATAAACAATATATGTAAAAGGTCAAGTTGTTATATCTTCAAAATACGTTTGAATTAATTGATCAAAATCTTGACGATTAAAATCGTAAGTAACAAAATTAACATAAATCTGAGAAGTGGTTGAAAAAGATGAAAAAGACATTTAAAAATTAAAGAGAAAACTTAGAACGTTATTTATAATATTCTTTAAGAAAAATATACACTTTTTTTCATATTTTTTAACAAATTTCTTCGTTTTTTTCTTTCAAAATTCATAAAATATTTTCGCAATTTTAATTATTAATTTCCAAATTCAGATTTTACGAATATAGAAGTTCATTGAAACAATGAACTTCTATATTCGTATTTTACGAATTTAGAAATCAAAAGACTTATTGTTGTTCCAAATTCGTATTTTACGAATTTGCAATTCATATATAATTACGTGGAATTAAAAACCCCAAAATCAAGATTATACTGATTATATACATCATGATAAAATTATCGTAGTCTTTACAGATTGTTAAAAGTAAAACTATCACTAAACAAAAGACAATAGTATTCATTTTTTCATCTTTTTGTTTCTATAATTAAAAAAAAAATAACCGATTATTTAAAAAAATATTAAAATAAATTAAAAACACCAGTATTTGATTTTACGTACTATTATTTGATCTTTACGTGCCATCATATCTTTAAAAAATATTCTTTCTTGTTCACACTTTTTTCTTTTTTCTCTATCTTTTCTTATAATTTTTACTTTTGACATTTTATATAGTACAACTTCTAAATTTAGATTCTTTAATGAATATATTTATAGTAGTTCATTATCTTTCCGATTTCAGATTTAACGAATTTGAAAATCAAAAGACCCATTGTCGTTCTAAATTCATATTTTACGAATTTGGAACAGATTAATAATTTATAAT